CTTAGTATTAAATAATTTATACATTTCATTTTATACAAATATAAACATCATCTGTCAGTTGTGAGCCTGATTATTTATGTTTGGCTTTTTCAACTTCAGTCACTTATTCAGCTGGCTGTATGTGGCTACATTGGCAGAGATGTCGCCTATTTTACATTCGGGGATCAGAAACTGAGGAACGACCTATCCACAATGCACATCTTCCTTACAGAGAATAATGTCACAGTCGGTAAGACTATTTACTTTCTATGAAGGAAGAAAGGAGTAAAAAAAATTATGTATAGAATTAGAGATTATTTATACACTGTGTAAGAGAGATTTAGTAAAAAAAGATAAATAGATAAAAAATGTAAGTAGATAAATGAAAAAATAATAAAAAGGTGATAGATTTAACTTTAACTTTATAATGGATTTTTTTCCTTCCAGGTGAATTAGTGCAGGTGTTAAACCATCATGGTTTAAGAGATTGGGTCGATGGTTCTGACCTGTCTCACTATATCTACCATAACCTAGGTGCTTATGATTCAGAAACTGATAATGATACTGAGGAATCTAAGGGTAAGTTATGATTTTATGAGAAGAAAAAAGTTTGACAGTAGAATTTTACATATGACATGGAAATGTTCATATTCATTCATTTTCTGTCAGAGGTCTTACCTCCATTCTTTATCAAATGTGATAATTTTTTAAACAAACATTTATTGGATTTTTTCAGTAGGTAGGCTTCACCTTTTTTCTGTTTTTGCTTTAATGGAATCATAGTTTTGATTGTAGCTGGCCTTGTAGTGTAAAGAAAGACTGGAACATTGTGGAGATGCATCTGATTGAAGGGCAGTAGACAGGATAATGCATTCTATCAGGACACTAATATTTTTTGTTTGGTTAGGTCATAAGATGGTCTCTGCTGGGTCAGACTTGGTCACCTATTCAGGCTGCTGCTTGCCTACATAGTGTGGTCAAGGGAGGCCTTTCCTTGGTGATCAGGCACTTAGTGAGGGCAGGCACAAGTAGAGACTTAAGGAGGTGGGACTTTCCTTTATGATTTTTTAAAATGAATCCACACTAGGTAGAAACAGCACAAGCAAGTATTCATTGTAGTAATGAAGCCCACGTAATAAGATAGTACTGCCAAGTTGATGATGATGTAGTTGCTTTTAGCTTTACATGTCATATAAGTTTTAAATCAGGCTATAAACATTTGTCTAACCGAAATGTGAAGTTTGGAATTTTTTCTATAGTCAGGCTTAAACAAGTTCGCAATAGTACACCTAATCCATGGATGGGTAATTATTTGACTTGCAGGAGAGGACGCAATTTCGCACCTAGGCTATCGGGACATAAAAAGGCACAATGAGGTGTCACCTCTTATCACTAGTGGGTTAAGAAAGGAAAATTGAACAAATCTTATATCATCAAAATTGTCCATGAAATGTAAAGTACAAGCTGATATAAAGCTTTGCATCATTAAAGCAGACAAAACCTAAGTGTGACATTATAATTCTGCAGCTGTGAAGTGGAGGTTTATGATACAAATTAGTAAGAGTTCCCTTTATGCTGAATTTTCCTAAATCTTTCAGGTATCGATAGTATCAATAGCTTCAATCATTGTAAGATTGTATAGATTTTTTTTTGTGGAAGTATTTTATACAGAGTGGAAAGAATAGTACATTTATATTTCTTTTTTCAATATAGGTATTAATGGAAAAATGCTGTCTATTTCTGACTACAGTGTATTTAAAGAATATATTTCTAAAGACCACTTTCTATAGAGAGCCTGCTTACACTTTCATAAATGAATTTCAAAAACTAGTTGACAATGTACAAAATATATTTGATTACTGTGATTAGATATGAAGGGGAAAAAATAGTGCCTGATTTTTTAAAATACTGTTAACCAAAGAAGATTACATAGATGTAATAAAAAGTCTATTAGCATAGATTCTGAGGCCAATAGAGCAGTTTTTCAAACAGCTTAATAGAGCTCCGCAAAGCCCAGTATCTCGGAAATCTCTTTTTTCACCCTTTCTTTCTTTTAGCCGTCACCATATTATTTCTTTGGTTGTGATGTAAAGGCAGTAGATCTTGGGTTCTTCAGTTTATTTTTTATTTCTCTAGTTCACATATTCCCTACCCTGTTATGAAGCCTAGGCTAGTCCAACTGTCTTAATTTTGTGAAAGAAGTGGATGATGTTAGTAATGAACTTATAGAAAATGCATATTGATGTACAGATAAAGGATTTATTCATGCATGCTGTAGAATGTTACCTTTGCAAATCAGCAAATTAAGTAGAGAATAATTTCATAATGAGTACATAATGGTAATTAAAAGAATTTTTGTTGGTATTTTCATGGAAGAGGTATTTATATATATTTTATTTGTTTGTTGATTTTGTAGTGTCAGATCTCAGATGTATTCTGATGATCATGAAACTTAATCTGTGGTATATCTGTGTTATATATTAGCTTCATATATGAAGTTTCTTATTGTTTCATTTGCAAGATTTAAACTCATGATCTTGCAATTTTGTATCATTATATTCTGGAATATGTCCATGGTTCCATAATGCTTTATGAAGAATGAAGTACTTTGGATTTTCCAGTATCAGAATTCTATGAATTTTGTCTTCATATGGTAATACTTGCATTAGTCACTAATAAATTATTGTATAGCCAGATATATGACAATCAGAGTCACCATGAGAAGAAATTATTATTATTTCTGTTCTTTTCCTTCCTTTCTTTTATCAATCACATTCATTATTCCTCTTTTGCCTATACAAAGATCAGGGAGGTATCTTGATCTTGACATAATGTTTGCTATGTTATTTTTGTTGTTAAACCAATTGGTGCAGAGTACTTGCCATGTCCACTGTAGTTTTGTTTTGTGAATTGTGTTTACGTACAGATGCCTCAAGTGCTTAGTCACCACGGATTCGGTTTAGTAGGCATTTGTGACTTCATGTGATTTCCCTATTCCTTGAATTTTTGGGATAAGTGTTTTTTACCAATGCTATGTATAATAACAATAATGTTTATATTATTATATGACACTATGATTATTATAGTCATTAGAATGCTAATAGCAGTAAAATCAGATTTTCCCAAAAACAAGAAAAAATAAAACAGGTGAGATAAGCAAGACTAGTAATTGACTATGGGTAAACACAATAAATAACCTAAAATTACAGTAGACACGACATGTATCTTTATCATCATCATTATCACTATCATTTTCATTATCATTATCATGTGACCACTGAATGGCACTCAACAGCCACTGTGGGTCCAAGTTTGCATGTGGAGGAGGGCACTCCCAATCCCCTTGTCTAAGTTACAGTCAAGTCAATACAAAGACTGTTCACTTCACCAAAGGGTTTATTAATTAACAAGAAATAAAGGCAGGGGACGAGACACCTCCTCTCTACACCAAAACTCCTGTGAAATACAGATACATAAATAGAGGGCAGTGTAACACTGCCCCCTCCTTACAAAAGGCTTACCTAGCCATTTATTTAGCACAAAATAAAGCATACATTATTTCCTTTTTAATTACTTACAAACTAAAACGTGTATTTCATATTAATCAATTAAATAATCTTTCATCCACTGGTGGCTACCTCCTTTGTTTTGAGCAAATACCCCCACAGTGGGCATGCAGTTCTGTCTCCTCATTGGTGGTTGTCCCCCACATCCACCAGTCAACTGACTCATCCACGTCAAACATGGGGCGAAAATCACAGTCTCAGGCGGGGAAACGAGAGGAGGGGTTGCAAGCATGTCTTCCTGAGGCGAGAGTCCCAGGTGATCTGACTCTGTGGGACAAGACACCCCCTCCACACCAAAACTTGCCCAAAATACAGATGAATAGAGGGTGATGTAACATTATCATTATTATTGGCATCTCTTCTTTTTCATCATCATCTGATCATCATCATCGTCGTTATTTTTGTTGTAGTTATTATTGTTTTTTTTTACTGCCTCCATATTGAATATTGTTATTCCTTTTATCAACATTAGTTATCATTGATTAACATTGTTCTCTGTCTGGATCCTTTAAGAGAGTAGAAAGAAAAAGATCAAGGAAGTGTTATCCATATTCACTGTCAACATCACAATTGACCACTGTTGAAATGTTTGAGTTTGCTGTGTTTTCAGGACCAAGTAGAGAACCCAACAATAAGAATTTAATAAGCCACGGAAGCTCCTACACCACCACCTCCTCCTCCTCCTCCACCTACTGCACTGCACGCAAAACTGCCAGGAGCATCACAGATTATTTCAGCAAGTCCTCCTCATCAGTTATGAATAAGAATCACCCGCTAAATGCCAAGCATCAGTCATCATCATCATCAGCAACAGCAGCAGCTCTCCTCAGCAAGGGTCCCAGTGGCTCCTCATCCCTCACTGAGGAGAAGATCCTGCAGGTTCTAAACGAGTGCGATCGGCTGGTCGAGGGCCAGAGGTCAAAGGGCCAGCAGGGCAGTCCAAGCACTGTTAATCTAGACAATAGAAAAGGTGGTCACAGTTCAAGCAGTTTGATAGAAAACGTAAAGGGTGAATTGAGGAAGATACAGGACGCTGAGGGGAATGACATTTCCTCGGAAGCTTGCGAGTCGAGTAAGCTCCTTTCCTATTTAGATGATATAGATAAATGCCTAGCATCATAGGCACCATGCTTTCTTATGTTATGCTTGTTACTCATTGCCATTTTCTTTATTTTCTTTTCTTTTTTTTCTTTTTTTCATGGATAGGAAAAGGTGAACCAGATGAAGAGTAGAAAAAGGAGTATGCTGTACAACAGTGGTTATTGTATATAGTTAGTAGAATGAATAAATAAGTGAATGAACAAGAATAGTTGTGGATTCCAGTACAAAGGAGAAAGTTGAGTAGCACTGCATTAAAGCTGATGTTTATTTATGTATATCTTTTTTAGGGTCAGATTATGTATTATTCTGTTATTTGTATTTTGGGATAATATGCATTATTTTTGTTGTGCACATTTTAAGGGACACTAGATACTCTTTTGCAGTGATAAGTAGAGGTACTTATATATTTGACTTTTATTTTTATATTATTTTAAAAGAGATTTGATTTTTTTTATTAGATACCTACCAGAGTAAATAAACAATGTATAATTAAATGTGTCTGTTTGAATACTGACCTTGTTCTGTTGGTAAAGTGCACTTGGTTTCTGATGACATACTAATAAATTTACTCAACACAAGTATATATTCTTAGTTTTTTAAGATACATTGGTCATTTTGTAAAAATATGACAAGAATATTAGTCACATAGCTGTAAATTTTAATCAATATTATAATACTCCTTTACAAAACAGGTGTATATATTGAAATTAATAATCCCACAAGGCAGTAGATGCAAATGGCAAATTTTGATTAAATCTTCTTGCAAAGATTTATATTATATTGAAATTTAATCAGAATTAATCATAACAGTAATTACATTTCTTGTGCTGTGAAGTTACTCATTCTCATACATACATCCTTCTACATGTTATGATGCACTTGAACTATTTGATATGATGATTTACTTAAGTTATTATCCATTATTATATGTGAAAAGTTTGTAGGAATTATGAGTTTTGAAAACATGAAGTACAATAACCAAAGAGGTAAAACTTTTTTTTTTTCAAGGAGTTGAATATTATCTTCACAATGTATTAGTGTATAAGTACTATTGCTCTACTTTTTGTGAATAATATAAGCACCTAGCAAGTAAGTGATAATGAAATATTGCCTGACAGTATTGTTTGTATCGTGGTTGTAGAGATAGGTAGATAAAGTTTCATTTTATTTGTTTGAAAATATCTTGAGATATAAATTCAAAGAAGCAGGGTGGACATCTTGTGATATTTTTTCATTGCCAAAATTGGAGAAGAGACATACATACAAGCAATATTTATTTTTGTTTTTTCCCTTGTCTCTCTCTCTTTCTCCTTGTATTTCAGCTATTTAATTGCATAATTAGAGTAACATGTCATACATCATAAGATATGTCTGCAATGACTAATAGTGATGTGATTTGTGATCCATTTTTTGGTATTACCCAAAAGGCAATGCTATTTATAGATTTTTTTGGTGTTGTAGGTTTTGTTTTTCTCACTGTAACCAGTCCATATTCAATAAATTTTGAATCTGGATATCATGCAGGCATGTGTGCTTTATGGACAATGTAGATTTTTTTTTTATTAAAGCATACTTGCCAAGACGATGGTCCTCATAGATGCTGAAGAGGGATAATAGTTAGATAATAGTTTAGAGTATTGTTAAGATTTAATGTTAATAGTACAAAGTTGATATGTAAATGTCAGGAAGGTATTCGTATAAATTTTCACAATACTTTCCAAATTAGTTCCTTCTGCTTGATAAAAATTCATGCTGAATGAATCCTAGCTACTTGAGTCACAACCAAGTCTAAGTTCTAGTTCTGGTCATTTATTTATCATTTTGAAGTACAGTTAGATATGTACTTTTAGCGTAAGGGAATTGACTACAGTTTACCGAACACGATAGATATGAACAAGGAATTCAGTGCCTCATATTAATTATAACCTACTAATATTGGACACTGATATTACCTTTCACATGTAACCAATGGAGATATGAAAGTATTTATTATTCAAGTGATCAGACACTTTGAATACAGAATTTGAGATTTAAGGAAAAGAGGAAAGTGTTATAGGTTATGTCTACAGTTATGATATTTTAGTTGGTGTTGACTGTTCTTTGTTGTACATGGCATGTTGACTGTATATGTTACTCAACAATGCTATGCTTTGTATATAAGGACGTACTTATTGTTTATGAAGGATGATAAGTAAATGTAGTATTAAGTAGTTTCATTTATGTATGTAAGCGAGACTTTACATTATGACTTTTCCGTAAAAAAAAATTCCCTTCCACTGATAGTTCCTAAGGATGCATTGCATTTTGAAAAAAATGTCAGATTTTTAATTTCACATGCAGCTCTATACTTGTTACTTGTAGCAAGATAAGAAAGTTTTGTCACATCTTTTGACAACTTTTCTTTGAAAGGGAGGGGGTTGTAATTGCTTTTTTTTTTTTCTTTCTTTTTTATTGTTTGGTTGGTTAATTATTATTTTTTTTATTCTCAGCACTGATTTCTTTCTTTGTTTATATTAATGTATATTCAAGAGCTAAGTGATACATTGAGCTGTACTGATGAAGCAGATGCAATCTCATTTCCTGCTATTACAAGACTGATAGATTTTTTTTTTCTTTTCTTTTTTTTGTGCTAAACCTCTTTCTAGTAACGCTTTTAATTTGATAAATATTAAATTTGTCAACAGGTTAGACCAGGTCAGGATCAGTTAATGAATAGACCAGGTTAGGATGGGATAACAGGATGTCAGATAAATAAATTTGCTGAAATGAGTAGCTTTAGTAAAATTTACACACAGCTTCAGAAATATCTTCCTCCTCCTCCTCCTCTTCCCTGTCTTGCTCCTCCTCCTTCTCCTCTTCCTTCTTGCTTCTCTTCTTTCTTCTCATTTTCCTCCGTCTCCTGCTCCTCCTCCTCCCAATTGTTATTTTTGTTTTTATTATAATCATTTATTGATTATAGATTCCATCAGTCTTAAAGATATAACAAAAGTAAACCAAATGGATTTTAAATAAAAATAACACTAGCTTCATCACACATTCTGTAGATTAGTTTATATTAAGGTCATGTTAACATTGTAAGCACTGAAACTTCAAGGAGATGGTGTTCTCCATTTTTTTTTTTTTTTTTTTTTTTTTTTTTTTGAAATTGCTATTTGAAACTATTTCTTAGGTTTGTGGTAGCGCGTGTACACACACACACACAGGCACACACATACACAGGCACACGCACACGCACATGCACACAGGCACATGCACGCAGGCACATGCACACGCAGGCACATGCACACGCAGCACATGCACACGCAGCACGCACAGGCACAGGCACACGCAGGCACAGGCACAGGCACACATACCCATGCACACATCCACATCCACATACATCCATGCTCACCCATACCAGTCTCTCTCTCTCTCTCTCTCTCTCTCTCTCTCTCTCTCTCTCTCTCTCTCTCTCTCTCTCTCTCTCTCTCTCTCTCTCTCTCTCTCTCTCTCTCTACACACACACACACACACACACACACACACACACACACACACACACACACACACACACACACACACACACACACACACACACACACACACACACACACACACACACACACACACATATATTTAAGCTATACATATGATACATTTGAATTTTGTTTCACTTCTAGAAGTTAGTGGAGAGTGTTACATTTATTTTGGGCTGTGAAAAAGAGTATTTATTTTTTGCAAAATTGTCATAGCCAAGATGAAGACCGACTTTTTTGCCCAAGATTTGTTGTCTTCATCCATTCAATAACCTTTAATTCTCCTTTAATAAAACTGAATCCATAGACTGTAATATTAATTGACTCCAAAATTCCATCTCTACAAGCTGCTCATGATGATAATGATATTAAAAACGATTATAATTGAATTGTTATGAAATTGGTATTAGGATGCAGTCTTCTACCTTTTCATGATCTTTTAAAATACATCCTATAAATTAATACACAAAACTTAAATAGGAACCAAAACTCGTACAAAAATGGGTATATTGCAACAGAAAATGAATGTGTTATATCATATCATATATCCTTTGATGAGAACTTTGAACTCATTATAACATATATAGATATATCATATTTGAATAAAAATATAACCCTTTTAAAATGTTCAAAATGTTTAGATTAAAAAAAAATGTTCAAGATGTTTCAGAATTTTCAAAATGGTTCAGAAATGACCTCGGCGGTTACGCTGTTTTGGGGACACCCCAATAAAAGTAACTAGAGAATGGAAATCATCATGTATGAATGAAATGTTCAAAATGGTTCAGAAATGACAACCATTTCAAAATGTTCAGAATGGTTCAGAAAAACACCGTCGCCGGTGACGGTGTTTTGGGAACACCCCTGTAAAGGTATCTGGAGAATGAAAATGAAATGTTTTATGATGAAAGGATGTAAAGTGACAATATTGAGAATAAGACGACTAACATCTTTCTTGGATATATGCAAGAAGAAGCAGCTAGCATCGACGTTATTTGCTCCACCTCCTTCGTCTCCTCCCCGACCTCCTCCTCCCTGCTTTTATTATGTTCACACACACACTATATATATATATGTGTGTGTGTGTTTATTTTTGTGCGTGTGCGTGTGTGTACCAGGCTGGTACGCTAGGTCACATTATTATGACCTCATCCCTTCTGCGCCACCTGCTGCCTGGCGATCCTCCTTTCCTCTGCTTGAGCAAGTTTGGCGCGTTTCTCTTCCTCTGCCTGAGCAAGCTTTGCGGCTTTTTCTTCCGCCTTGCTTTGATGGAGGCGATGACCTGGTAGGCTGTGCAAACACAGCTCTCCGCCGATTATTCGCCTGCAACAAGAACAAGCGTGAGGTCGAAAATACATTCAAAGTTTGCTCTGCGAAAACGTACAAGGAGGAAACTCTTGCCAAAGATTCTGCTCGCCTCCAAGCGCTCAAAAAGGTCATTAAGAGATTATATAAAGATTATTATTATCTCCTTTTCCTTAATCCGATTAGGTCGACTTTCGCAGTGGGCGCGAACGTCAGCCTTTGGTCCGGATCAGGCTTCAAAAATTCCAGTGCGATCCTGACCAGATCCTCCGGGAATTCCATTTCCACGGCTATAAGGGACAGAATAGGCGTTCTGAGCGGGCGTGCTGAGGTGCAGGGAGAACATCTCCGGAGCCAACCAGGGGGATTTTTTGCCCTTTCCGTATTTCAGGGCATAGAGGCGCCCCTTCTCGTTGGCATTACCGAAGTCTATGAGGCCCACTCTCCCGCGGGCGTCCACTACAGTGTTGTCCTCCTTCAAGTCGTTATGGATGATTCCCTTCCTGTGGATATCCCGCACACATTCGCAAAGATCAGCGGCAACGTCGAGAAGCTCCTTGTCCGACCTCTCATTCTACAGGTACTTGTACAGCGTCTGAGGTCCCTCGAACGTGATCAGCTGGGCGAGGAGCCGAACGCATAGGCCGAGGGCCAAGGGCGCTCCACCGACGCCCCGGAGGTGCAGGAGATAATCAACCTCTGTAGATATCCTCCTGGCGGATGTCTCCCTTGGGTCTCTTCATCTCGGCCTTGGTCCATTGCCAGCGGACCAGAGACGCGGTGCTGAAGTGGCTCTGCCCGAGCCTCGTTGACCGACTCTTGAGGGCGCCAATCTGCTATGCGCTCTGCATGGGGAAGCCTACTCTCTGCAGAAGAAAGTGGTATTGGGCGCTGGCAGCGGGCCTTCTTGACTCGCAGGGCGGCAGGCGTAAACTTCGATCTTGTTCCACACGCCGGCGGGCGAGTTAGCACGGGCGCCGTGTGTGTGTGTGTGTGTGTGTGTGTGTGTGTGTGTGTGTGTGTGTGTGTGTGTGTGTGTGTGTGTGTGTGTGTGTGTGTGTGTGTGTGTGTGTGTGTGTGAAACGGAAACATGATATAAATCAGATATAAATAAAACAGATTGGAGATTAACATTTTATTTCACAATCTTCAACAAACATAAAAGCAAACTTGCTCAACAGTGTGCACTAATGACATGAATCACAAGAAGTGCAAATTTTACACTGAATTTACATCGCTAAGAATCTACATAAAGATAAAAAATGTAACCGACAGCGTCACCATATTTCAGTTCTATCTAAGCGTTACATTTATGCTTTTCATCTCTGCATCACCAAGAACTTGTTCCTATCTACGCATTATAGAGATTTTTGCAAACGAATCCACACTCGCTTCTGAGCTGCGTTCCTGTTTGCAATTCGTTTCCTCTCATCTTCTATCCTCTCCGTCTTCGTCTTAAACACCATTCAATTCTCACTTCTTTCTCTTCCTCCAGCTCCACGTCCTTCTCCTCTTCCTCCACTTTCTCTTCCCCGTCCTCCTCCTCCTCCTCCTCTTCCTCCACTTTCTCTTCCCCGTCCTCCTCCTCCACTTTCTCCTCCCCGTCCTCTTCCTCCACTTTCTTCTCCCCATCCTCCTCCTCAACCTACTCCTCCACTTCCTCCTTCTCCCCGTCCTCCCCCTCCACCTCATCCTCATCCTCCCCTACTTCTTCCTTCTCCGCGTCCTCCTCCTCTATTGGCTCCTCCTTCTCCTCCTCCTCCCTGAACATGGCGCCCATCGGTTGCACTTGAAACTTAAAAATCGAGTTCCTGCGCTCCTCCACTCCCGTCGATCTCCTCCACGATGCGGTTGGCCTTGAGGCAGACGTGGCGCTGCGCACACTTGCTGGGGCAGCACTTCTCGTCGCGCGCGCAGTACCCGTCGGAGGCACAGGCGGCGGCTTTCTGCTTGTAGCCTTTGTCCTGGAACGGAGAGGTGGGTGTTATGTGGCATACTTTGTGTAACGAGAAAGTTTTATTAAAGTCTGTTGGGAATCGTAAATTTATGTTTCTATAATATACATACGCGGGTGCGCACCCATTCACTTAATCACTCTCTCACTCATATATGTATGTATGCATGTATGTATATGTAAGTATACATATACATATACACACATATATATGTGTGTATGTGTGTTGCACAATGCCTTCGTTCAACCGAAAGAAACCCGAAGGTTCATGCATTAAACATCCCCTAAAACAGTTTTGAGAACTTACCCCAAACTTGATCGGGACTTCCCTGTCTCCGTCGCAGTCTTCATCCTCGATCTTGGGGCAGAGTCCCTCGTGGTCGTCATGGTTCTTGGGTTCTGGAGAGAGAGAGAGAGAGAGAGAGAGGAGGGGGGAGGGAGGGAGGAGGGGGGGGTGTTAGTTAATGGCGCTAGAGATCGGAGGTTATCTCGTCATATTTTGGATTATCTTATTAATTACTGCTTATTCAGGTTTCTCTGATATATTTTTTTATCATATTGATTCCAGTGGGATTTTGATTCATTCAGTTGAAGATAATAACAATGTTGATAAATTACAGATGGAGTTATAATACATACTGGCATTCTCGCCAAAATAAACATACAAAATATTCATTAGAAATAAGAATAAGAATGAAGGCAAAATAAGAAAAAAATCCTATAGACAGTTGACTAGCTCACCTAGTAAACTACCATCGTCGCAGCAGTAGCTCTCGCTGTCCCAGAAGCAGTAGTAACGGCAGCTGCTTGGATACGGCACATACTTGAGGCAATGGTGCTTCTTGGCGCAGGGCGTCGGGCAGCACTTCTCGTCCTCGGCGCAGTAGCCGTCGGAGGCGCAGGGGGGCGTGGTCACTGGCGAGCCCGAGAACAATTTCTCGATCGTGGCTTTCTCGCTCTGAGTAACGAGGTTTGTGTGTATGAGTATACATTCATAGACATACATTTACGTGTGTGTGTGTGTGTGTATAAATACATGTATACATCTATGTCTTTTTATCATTATTCATTTCATTAACTATTTATCTATTAGCCACACATACATACTGGTGTGTTTGACCATTGTCTTTCTATGGTCATACTCTCACAAAATGGTTATATTTCTTTTTATCTTTAGACTTTAGAAAGAAAGTTACACCGAATGTCCTGCAGTTACTGTATCTAGCGACATACCTTATAGTAGATTCCGTCACTCTTGCAGATGTGTTCTTCCTTAGCTACACACATTCCTTGGTGGGCATAGTGATCCGGAGGAACTGAAAAGAGAGAGAGAAAAACAGTTGCTCAAGGAGATGGGAACTTAAAAAGATGACACACACACACACACACAAACAGTCGCACGCACACACACACACACACGTACGTACGAACACACACGCACGCACGCACGGGTTAACGCAACGGTTGGCCAACCAGTCGGTCACAAGCCTGTTCTAAGTCGATCACACTACTGTACCTGTTAATAATTCGGCCTTCAGAAGTTGCCATGTAAATAGCTTCAATATCATATCCGAGCACGAATGATAATTAGATTATTATATTTCTTTTCTTTTCTGGGAATAAGTTATATTTATATTCATAATGGCGGATATGTCTGAACAACATACAATTATTTATGTTTGACTCTTAGGCTGGTAGATCGCATCAGGGTAATTGTAGATAGAATAGATCGTATCCCACAAAAGGCTGGCCTCCCCTGGCTTAATACAAATACAATACCACCTACGAGGTCTGGTGCCATCGTCACAGCAGTAGACGGTATTATCGTAGCTGCAGTAGTAGCGACAGGCTGTTGAAGAAAATTGAGAAACCTTTGGCATACTTGAACTTTTATTTATTATCATTATTGTTATTATTATCATTATTATTATTATTATTACTTTAATTCAGTCAATTTAGTTTTTTTTCTATTACTTGAACCATTTAATCCCACTCTGCTTTCGATCTTGAATAGCAACTTTTTTTTTTTTGTACTGTGCATTTAAATCACTGATTTTAGACTATTTAATTCAACAGAGTAATGAAAATACACATAATTGGAGTTTTTCAGAAATTTTTGATTTTTTTTTTTTTTTTTTTTTGATCCTGAATATCATTGTTTGATTATAAGTTGAAATAAGTATTGTAAATAATGTATAATAGAACGCCTTACTGTTCGGCGGGATAGTCGGAAACTCGAGAAGGTCGTCTGTCGGAAGAAACAAAGGCGTTATTTTTATTGCAGACTTGTTTCTTTCACAAATTACTTTATCAGTTGTAACTCCTGCAGTGTTATTCATTATCAAGCAAAAATAAGTTCGGATGTGACATATACTCACAGGCACGTTTGTGTGAGTGTATATGTGTGTGGTGTGTGTGTGTGTGTGTGTGTGTGTGTGTGTGTGTGTTATATATATATATATATATATATATATATATATATATATATATATATATATATATATATATATATATATATATATATATATATATATATATATATATGCGTAATTTTTCCGTTTCCTTATTTTCTATTTATTTCTACGAGTCTCACCTTCTGCCGTAGGGGCCTTTTCTATCGGGGCATTCTCTGTAAATAAATAAATAAAAAATAAACGTAGGTACTAACGGAGTCAAACATACTGACAATAAAACAAAATACATTTCCTACAATATGACAGAGAAGGAGGGTTGAGGTTGGTGGTGCTAGGGGGGGGGGGGGTGGCACCTAAAACAATCCTGTTTTATCCGAAACCTCAATTTCATCCCCAATAACTCTCTTATTTCCTCTAATGAGCTTTCTCGAGGCCTCACCCTGTGCTGCGGCGGCGAGGCACAGGTGCTTCCTGGCGCAGGGCGTCGGGCAGCACTTCTCGTCCTCGGCGCAGTAGCCGTCGGAGGCGCAGGGGGGCGTGGCCGTTGGCGAGCCCGAGAACAGCTGCTTCGTCGTGTTCGCGCCAGTCTGAAGAACAATAGATGGAGAATGTGTATAAATATGTGTGTGGGTGGATGTTGTGGGTGTGTATGTGTGCGGGTGTTTTGTGCGTGTATGTTTGCGGGTGTTTTAAGTGTGTGTTTGTACGGTTTTTATGTGCGTGAGTGTGTAGAAGATTGATGATGAGTAAGTTATGAAAAAAAGGAAAAAAACGGAAACCTGAGATCACACCCAAGGCCTTCATAGCGCTTCTTCAGAGCATGAAGAAACAATAACGTGAAAAAAACCTTCGGTATAAACGTGTCTTTCCCTGAATCTCCCTTTGTGTACATGTGTGTGTATGTGTGGAATTCATGACGGACAGGAAAACACACGAATATGGGCCTATTCGTGTATTTTTTTGTCCTTCCCTTCGTTGTTCCTGTTGCAGTGTGTGTAAGATTTGCAAGTATTTTTTCCTCAGTAGACTCTGGTTGTCTAAATTTCATACGTATCATATAAGTACTATACTTACCCCATCAGTAGTGTTGTAGTAAATGGCGTCATCCTCGCAGATGTGTTCGCTCATTTCGATACAAACACCTGCATTCTCATCGTGATCCTGGGGAACTGTAAGAGGCAACGAGAATAATAACTTTCAAAGGGGCAATCAAGAGGGAGTGAGAGGAAACGAAAGAGACAGAGACAACACAACAAAAGAGAAGGATATATGTATAGAGAAGACACGATCTAAAGTTATCTGAACAGGTACGGCAATAGGCAATGGTCTTTTTAGAAAACATATTTTATTTTTATTGTCATATTTATTTATTTATCTTAATTTTGTATTATGATCTTTTTTATTTTCATATTTATTTATTTATTCTATTTTTGTATTATCATTTTTAAATTTTAATTGATATTTATTTATTTTATTTTTCTATTATTATCTTTCTCTTTCTTTCTTTCTTTTTTGCAAAGACGAGCATCACCTACTGGGTCTGGTGCCATCGTCACAGCAGTAAGCATCTCCCTCGTAGCCACAGAAGTAGCGACAATCTGAAAAAAAAAGATATAGGAAGAAAAATGTCAATAGATATATAGTAAATTGAATAAAAAGTAAGAGAAGAGAGAGTTGGAATATCTTACAAAAATATTCAATCCACTTACAGACCTCTAAGAATTTAGATCAAACTTTGAGACCGTATTCCAGGCTAGTGCAAAGATGATAATGATAATAATAATCATTTGCTAAACTATACACATTGACTTACTGCTTGGCGGCTGAGTTGGGTATTGGCGGCGGAAATCTGTCAAACAAAAGCAAAAGTTGTCAATGTAATATTCCATTAGAGGGTGAAATTGAGTCATTCTCTGATATTTCTGTCTAGTCTATTCCACTAATAGAGTAAATGTAATTTTCTGTTTTCCTAATCAAACAGAAATGAGTATAACATATATATATATGCACACATACACAGAAATATATACATATACACGTGTGTATCTATGTACATACATACGTGTGTATGCATTATATATGTGTGTGTGTGTGTGTGAGAGAGAGAGAGAGAGAGAGAGAGAGAGAGAGAGAGAGAGAGAGAGAGAGAGAGAGAGAGAGAGAGAGAGAGAGAGAGAGAGAGAGAGAGAGAGAGAGAGAGAGAGAGACAGACAGACAGACAGACAGAGAGACAGAGACAGACAGACAGAGAGAGACAGAGAGACAGAGAGAGAGAGAGGGAGGGAGGAAAAAAAGGGAAGAAGGACAGAAAGAAAGAAAGAAAAATAAAAAAGAAAGAAAGAAAAAAAAGTAAGAAAGAAAGAAAAATAAGAAGGAAAGAAAAATAGGAAACAGACCGGGCGCGAGTCCACCGTCGCAACAGTAGCTAACCCCCGCGTAGCCACAGTAGTACCGACAGGCTATAAATAAATAAATAAATAAATATATAAATAAATAAAACATCAGGAAAATAAATAAATAAATATGTAAATGAATAAAAAATCAGGAAAATAAGAGTAAAATGGGTTTATTTCTAACTCGGTGTATTTTGCGAGACGAAAAAAATAACCCATGAATTTAGAGAAAAGGCAACATAGCTAAGTGCTTTGTGTTCAAAGTCAAATTTTTTTTTTATGTAGTCCTCCACGAGTGCATGTATTTGAGTTATTCTCCGATTTAACTAATGTATTCCACTAATATATGGAATATAAATATGTTTTTCATTATTGTAGAAAATATACAATGTGATATATGTACTGTATAAGTATACATATATTCAGTTTCTCTTATTTTAGTCTTACCTGTTACTGGAGGCGTATCTGTGACTGGATATTTTTCTGCAAATTTAAGAAAGAAATAAAAAAATAAAATGTTGTTTATCATCACGACAAAAAGTCAAAATATTTGTAGAGAGCATAATCAAAATAGAGGAAGAGGTTAAAGGAAGTAGAAAAAGGAAATTTTGATTCTAATTCTAAAAAAATATTCTAGAATAATTTTTCCCTGTGCTTCATTCCCACGTCAGAATCCTCTCCTATTCTGCCTCGTCTCCTTTGATCATCAATCCTTTTATTACACATGTCCTTCTAAAAAAATAAATGAATCATAATAAAAAAATAAATGAAATAAAAACAAATAAATAAATAAATAAGTAAATATAAATAAATAATAAATAAATAATTAAATAAATGAATAAAAATAAATAAATAATTAAATAAATGAAATAAATATAAATGAATAAATAAAATAAAAATAAATAAAATGAATAAATAATAGATAAATAAACAAATAAATAAACTTTCGAGACCTCACCCTGTGCTGCGGCGGCGAGGCACAGGTGCTTCCTGGCGCAGGGCGTCGGGCAGCACTTCTCGTCCTCGGCGCAGTAGCCGTCGGAGGCGCAGGGGGCGTGGCCGTTGGCGAGCCGAGAACAGCTGCTTCGTCGTGTTCGCGCCAGTCTGAAGAACAATAGATGGAGAATGTGTAGAAATGTGTGTGTGTGTATCCTGTGTGTAGTATGTGTGTGTGTGCGGGTATCTGTGTGTGTGTGTGTACGGGTATGTGTGTGTGTGCGGGTATGTGTGTGTGTACGGGTATCTGTGTGTGTATCTGTGTGTGTGTACGGGTATCTGTGTGTGTAGTGTGTATCTGTGTGTGTGCGGGTATCTGTGTGTGTGTGTGGGTATCTGTGTGTGTGTGTGTGTGTGTGTGTGTGTGTGTGTGTGTGTGTGTGTGTGTGTGTGTGTGTGTGTGTGTGTGTGTGTGTGTATTTGCATGTGTGTGAGGGGTATCTGTATGTATGTGTGGGTATCTGTGTGTGTGTGTGCGGGTATCTGTGTATGTGGGTATCTATGTGCGTGTGTATGTGTGTATGTGAATGTGTGCGGGTATTTGTGTGTAGACAACACAAATCTAACAAAGACTTTCAAGTAAAAAAAAAAAAAAAAAAAAAAAAAAAAAAAAAAACACGGATACACTTTTCTTTCTTTCCTTTTCCTTTCTTTCTTTCTTTCTTTCTTTCTTTCTTTCCTTTCTTTCTTTCTTCTTTTCTTTTCTTTCTTTCTTTCTTTCTTTTTTTTTTCTTTCTTTCCTTTCTTTCTTTCTTTCTTTCTTTCTTTCTTTCTTCCTTCCTTCCTTCCTTCCTTCCTTCCTTTCTTTTTTTTCTTTCTTTCTTTCTTTTTTTTAAATCTGAGGGACTTACACTGTCAGTGACGTTATAGTAGATGGCATCCTTTTCACAAATATGTTCTTCAATTTCGACGCAAGTACCTGCATTCTCATCGTGATCTGGGGGAACTGGAAGAGACAAAGTGTTGATAATTATGATGATAATGGTAATAATGATAATGGTAATAATGATAATAGATGATGATGATGATAGATAAATAATTATGCTATTTTTTATTATGATGAAATGATGATTATGGAGAGAGAGAGAGAGAGAGAGAGAGAGAGAGAGAGAGAGAGAGAGAGAGAGAGACGCCACTATATAAGTGATAAGTTCTTTTGATGTATATTAAAAAAGAACAGAAAATAATGTATATACACACACATATATGAATAGACGGACTGATAGATAGATAGACAGATATACATATATATATACACATTTCTTTTTCACTTACTAGGTCTAGTGCCATCATCGCAGCAGTACGCAATTCCTTCGTAAGCGCAATAGTAGCGACAATCTGAAAAAAATGATATAGGAAGAAAAATGTCAATAATTATATAGTAAATTGAAAAAAAAGGAAGAGAAGAGAGTTGGAATATTTTACAAAAATGTTTTATTCACTTTCAGACCTCTTAAGACTTTTGATCAAAGTTTAAGACCGTATTCCATGATAGCACAATGATGATAATGATAATAATAATTTATTAAACTATGTACACTGACTTACTGCTTGACGGCTGAGTAAATGAAAATAAAATTAGAGAAAAGAAAATACAAAAGATAAATCTATTCGCTAAATGAAAATGAAATCAGATAAAAAGAGGCTACAAAAATCTTATTCGGTAAATCAAAATGAAATTAGATAAAAAAAATGCTTAAATTAAATAAATAAATACATCCGGTATAACAAATAGAATTAGAGAATAAATTAGAGAAAATAACATCCCCTTAGACCATTTACTATTGTGTGGCAGATGTATGATGATAATAAGATGCTAATTACTATGATAATGATAATGATATTAGTAATGATAATACTACTAATAATAGGTATACAATTATGATGATAATGATAGGAATAGAATAATAATAATAGGAATAAAATCAAATAACTATAATATAATGATAAATGATAATAATAATAAAATAATGAGAAATAATAATAACGATAATGATGATGATAATGATGATGATAATGATGATGATAATAATAATAATGATAATAACAATGCTGATGATAATAGTAATGATAATAACAATAATGATAATAATAATAACAAGGATAAAAGTAATGATGATAATCATAATAAGGATAATTATCATCAGTTGTTAATTGATGTATATTGACTTACTGCTAGGGGGGAGAGTCTGGAATTCTCGAGGAGCTTCTGTAAAACAAACAAACACAAAATTGTAGTTCGCCATATTTATTTATTTATTATTATTTTTTTTTTTTTTTTGTGCCATTGTCATACTTTTAAGATTTAATCATAATGAATTGAAACATGTCAAGAATTGTATGCAAATTATTAAACCTATTAATAAGTGGGTTTATTTTTTGTATCATCACATCCTGTTTTATTCATTTTTATGTTATTCATTATCATTATGAGTCTTACCTGTTGGTGTAAGTTTTCCTTCTGTCGGGATGCCCTCTGTAGTTGTACGGAAAATAAAAAAGAAAATTGTGAATATGAATGTCAAGAGAATAATGTTTTAGCATAGATACGCATAGAGATAATATGACGTAGATATTGGTCAAAAATGAGAGGGGATGGGGGAACTGGTAGAATAAAAAAAAATTGATATGATATGATCTCTCGAAAACCGTTCAAGATTTACACTCTCCCTTCTCCCCTCTCCTCTCGTACAACATTTTCGTTTTTTTTTTTTTTTTGTCGACCCCCCTCCCCCCCAATCCCTTACCCTTTGTTGTCGTGAGGGGGCTTGGAAGGCGAGGACTGGGGCCCAATGCTGCTGGGGATCTCCCTTCCCTTGAGCCTCAGCCCTCGACTCAACTAATTTTGCAAGGTCTTTTCTCCCTCCTGCTTTTTCGTTTCTGTCCCTTCTCCGTCCCCTTCTACTACCTACTTCCTAAGGTGTGAGAGCCGCGGACGATGATGTACGAACAGTACAGTGCTACTTCATTCCTCCTAAAATTCATCGTAAGAACCCCACCAACATTGCCAAAATTACTTTCCGTAGACATGACCTTCACTTTAATGTCTACATTGGTGGAGAATCCCTCCCTGTCCGATCATATCAACATCCTCCCCGTCAATGTTAAAACTGTTGGCGTTAAGGACATTCTGCCAAACACTGCCGTCCCACAGCCCGATGCCCTCTGTGTGCACAACCTGGTCATAACCGATCAATCTGCTCTGCGCAGTCACGCACATGCGCTAACTGCGGCAGCCCCCATAATGTATTTTATAGGGGCTGCCCCACCTACAAGTTTGAGTCTGAGGTGGCAACTCTCAGATACAGACTTGGTCTCACTCTGCGTGAACCCAGACAGGAAGCACGTCGACGGGATTTTTCTCATACTTCTACCACACTCTCACCTCCACCTACCTTTGCCTCCACTCCTCAGACACCAGTTTCTCTCCCCCCCCCCCCCCCTCATGAGAAAACCTTTGTCTCACAACACTCCCCGGCCGACTACGTTTCAGAAACCCTTGAAGACATTCAGAACTATCTGCTCGAGTCCCAAAATGACACCGAAAACCCTCACCCACCCTAAAATTCCACAACTCCTGCTCCCTCCACCCTCAAAGTGACTGCCGGTATCCATCCTCCTCCTACTCATATTCCTCCTACACCTCTTCCTCCTACTCCCTCCCAACACAGCCCATCCCCCTCAGTTCCAACTACATCAACCCTCCCTCCATCCCCTCTATCCCTCCCATTCCCTCCTGGATACACACGTGAACCCCTTATGTCACAACTATACCCTTCCCCAGATCCTCCACCTCCTAATACCCCTCCTGATACTACCCCCCCCCCCACTCTAATTCCTTTTCTCACCCCCTAGTTCCTTTCCCTTCAAATTCTCCAAACTGTAACCGTTATCACTCGTAGATCAACAAAGTAATAATTCCCGGTTTCCGTTCACACAGACCTGATCTTCGTCATATCCTTTAACTAAGCAATAGCTCTCCTGCATTAGAATATTCGCTGTTTCCGTTCTCACAGACTTGGCCTTCGTCATATCCTTTCTCCGTATAACCCGTCCCTTCTCTGCCTCCCAAGAGACTTTTCCTACGCATCCTCCTCTGCTTTGACAACCTGTTCTCCTTCCTCAGACTATACATATCCTTCACTTGATCTAATCCCCTTGCCTAACCCCACCGTAACCCATTCACTCAACTCCTTTACCCATCTTTAACCTTTTCAATATTACTCTAGGTCAGTGGTTCTCAACCTGCGCCGCGACCATCCCTCAAGGTCGCCGCGAAAATTTAATGAATATCTAGTTATGTCTTGAATTTGTGCCTTGCTTCTAGCCGCCTTATTTTCACAATTATTTTTTCCTCATGACATCGAAAGGATATGCAAATCCAGACAAGCGCAAGTGTCCCATTAATCATGTATGTTTAATCTACAACTGGAATTATATATTTCATTCCCATGTGTTCATTAATTCATTCTCATATATATGATAATAAAAACAACAATAATGATATTGGTAATAGATATAATAATATTACTTATCATTATTATTATTACTGTATAGTTTGTGCGCCGTCGAAGTCCAGGCTATATCCTTAGTGCGCCACTAACTAGTAAAGGTTGAGAACCTCTGCTCTACATATTTGACGCATAGCAACTAACTACTAACTCACTAACTATTGTTGTTACTATTGTTTCTAACTTCACTACCCTTTTGCTGTACCTTCCTATAGTGTTATATGACCTTATATGTCTAGCACATTTATTTTGCTTTTAACCATTAATCATTTTTTTTTTATCGAAAGTCTCTATTTTTAATATCTTATATTCATATTCTTTCCTCCTTAAACAAAAGTTTCCTCGGATTCTATGTTGTTTACCGTTATTTTGGTATGTATTCTGATTCTTGACTTTCCACACATATTCTCACTTCCAAGCCTCTATTCGTAATTTTCAAAATTCTTAATATTATCTCATGATCAACTGTTTTACGTGTATTTACTCATTTACATTATTTGTTTCAATATGAGTACTATTGTTAACGTGATTTTTTTCTAGATTTTAAATATTTACTGATTTGTTTATTTTGCTTCATTATGAGTACTATCGTTAACGTGACTTTTATTTAGATTTTATATATTTACTCATTTGTATATTTTGTTTCAATATTAGTACTATCGTTAACGTGATTTTTATCTAGATTTTATTTTAAGTCTCACCCTGTGCTGCAGCGGAGAGGGCAGCCGCCACCACCAGCAGGAGAGTGCCGGTGCGCATCTTGATCCTCACTTGTCTGTGGGGGTTACAGGAGTATTACTTTTTGTTATAGAATGAAATGTAATGATAAATGTAAGTAAATATGACCAGACCTTTCTGAAAATTATGTTTTTATCTTTTTTTTCAGTTTAAGTTTACTAGATATATCTGGAAATAGGTTTTCGTTACTGAACCACCTACGTATATATTTCACCGAACAGAAATCATCATGAACAAATTGCTGCAACTATTATAACATTGATATAGATAGACCTTTGTTCATGTTTGTGTCCAATTATATCAACAGGATCTGTACACACACTATTATATCTACTGAAGATAGGGTCCCAGATTCCACACATAAAACATTTTCAAATAATCGATGTTTTTCTCCAATGAAAGTGTCTCAACCTCAGCACACAGCCTCTCAATGTCTATTCTCCTGCCCATCTGTCTATCTCTTTTTGGATACATATTTACAGTATTGCATGGAAGCGCACACTTACACACACATACACACAAATGAACACATACATGTATATACCCACACGTACGCACACACACATATATATGTGTGTGCGTGTGTGTGTGATTGAGAGAGAGAGAGAGAGAGAGAGAGAGAGAGAGAGAGAGAGAGAGAGAGAGAGAGAGAGAGAGAGAGAGAGAGAGAGAGAGAGAGAGAGTGAGTGAGTGAGTGAGTGTATGTGTGTGTATTTAGGTCTGATTTGAACCGTCACGATTGATATTCCATTCATATGCATCTGCAATTATACCACTGAAAAAACATAATGAACTAGAAGCGCCCAGAGAACGCATACCTCTGCCAAGACAATAGGTCCCCTGATGCATTGAAAATTCACACTTGAAGAACTACAATAAAATCACCTCTTTCTCAAGTACACAGGTGACGCCCGTAAAGACAATAGGGATAACTATGCAATCATTAAAAAAAAAATCCTAGATCCGGATCAGAATTCAATGGCATCAAAGTTAGGTTAAGACACACCTCTGCAAAAAAAAAAATAAAATAAAAAATAAATAAATAAATAAAATAATAAAAAAAATAATAATAAAATTCCGTCCATAAGTCTTTGAGGTATCCTGCTAACCAACAAACAAACGCTACCGAAAACATAACAACCTTGGAGGAGACAACAAACATAACCTCTATGGCGAAGGTAACAACAACAACAAAATTCCTTCCTCGTTAAATAGTTAAGCCAACAAACCACATAATGAAACTTGTTAACCTGTCTGTCTCGGAGTTTCAAATGTTATTGAAGAATAAACACTCTGGATTCCTTATTTCTGTTTTCATCGTTTCACCAGTTAATATAACACAAATCGATTGTTTTTCGTTTTTGTACATTGTAAAAACACGACCGAAGACAGAGAACGCTGGCTTAAATATTTTAAACATATAATAGAAAAAAAAATCAAACAATAACTGAAACCTGTAAAATATCTAGCTATTCTAAAATATATGAAATGAATAAATAAGTAGACGAATGAAAGAAAGATGACTCCACCGATTTAGCGACAGAGACTTGCCTTTTCGAGTATGTAACGTTCCGCGGGCGGGAGAACGAGTGTGTGTGTGGCGGAGCAATACATGCCTTTATAATGCTTCGGTTGGCGACTGATTTTTTTTTTCTGTTTTTATGTTTGCTCTCTCTCTCTCTCTCTCTCTCTCTCTCTTCTCTCTCTCTCTCTCTCTCTCTCTCTCTCTCTCTCTCTCTCTCTCTCTCTCTCTCTCCATATATATATATATATATATATATATATATATATATATAATATATATATATATTATATATATAAATATATATATATATATATATATATATATATATATATATATATATATATAAAGATATATATAGATAGATAGATATAGATATAGATATAGATATATAGTATTATATATACATATATATATATATATATATATATGTATATATTTAGAGAGAGAGAGAGATAGAAAGGTAGATTGATAAACATATATACATATGTATATTTCTCTTTTTCTCTTTTCTCTCTCACCGTTTTATTATCTTTTTACTTTTTCTCCTCTCCGTTTTATAATTTTTCTCTTTCTATCTTTCCTCCTCTTTTTCTCTGTCTGTCTGCCTGTCTTCCCCCCCCTCTCTCTCTCTCTCTCTCTCTCTCTCTCTCTCTCTCTCTCTCTCTCTCTCTCTCTCTCTCTCTCTCTCTCTTCTCTTCTCTTCTCTCTCTTTCTCTCCGTTTCTCTTTCCGTCTTTCTTCTTTATTGTTGCTTATTTTTCTTATAAAAGACATTATTTGTTGTTAGATTGTTAAACGTATTAAATATTCTAACATTTTAATCCCACAAGGTACTCGCTGTTAAAGACCTTAGGTAATGGGTATTTTTTAATAATCAATTTATCTCTATTCCTCTCTAATGCGCCCCTTTCTCTCTCTCTCTTACTTTTTCTTTCTCCCAAAATCTTTATTCCTCTCTCAGTTCGCCCCCCCCCCCTCTTCTCTAACTCTCTTTGTCTCTCTCTTTGTCTCTCCCACTTTTCCTCTCTCTTTCTCTTCCACCTTTTCACTCTTCCTCCCCCCCCCTCTCTCTCTCTCCTTCCCTCCTCTCTCTCTCTCCCTCATTCCCATATGTCCGTTCTGTATTTTCGATCGTTCCATTCCTCTAATCTCCTTCCGTCTTCCCTTCTTCCTTCCCTGCCTCCCACTCTCTCTCCCTCCCCTCCTTGTCCCCCTCTCCATCTCCCTCTCCACTCTCCCTCCCTCCGTTTTCCCTCTCCCTCTCTCCGTCTCTCCCTTTTTCCCTCCCCTCTTTTCCTCTCCCTCCTTCCCCCCCTCCCGCCCTCCTCCCCCTCGTTCTCCTCCTTCCCTCCCTCCCTCTCCCCTCTCTCTCCATCCCTTTTTCCTCTCCCTCCCTCTCCCATCCTCTCCTTCCTTCACGTCCCCTCCCTCCCTCCTCCATTCCTCTCTCCTCCTCTCTCCCTCCCTCCTCCTCCTCCCTCCTCCTCCTCTCCCTGTCCTCCCTTCCTCCTCTCTTCTCTCCTCTCCCTCTCCCTCCTTTTTCCCTCTCCCTTCTCCCTCCCTTCCTCCCCTTCTCCCTCCTCACCTCCTCTCCCTCTCCCTCTCTCCCTCTCCCTCTCTCGCTAACCGGAACTATGTCGGGATTTTCCTACTGTCGATCCATTATTTACTGAACGTGCTAATAAGGGAGTGACAATGCATTCAGGGCGAGGTAATGATTCGAGAAAATTGTTAGATGTGTAGGATGCTTGTCCATGGCGGGTATATATTTTTTTTCAATTATATTTATACGTTGATTCATTTGATACCGTTCTCATTTTTTTTTTATTGGCGAGGTATGTTAAAGGAATGTTTTATGTGAAATCGCCTTTTTTTAATAGAAGATAAGAGATTAATTAAATTAAAAACGCGAAACGGTAAAGGAATTCAAACTGTAGGGTTTTATTTTTTGTTTTAATATTCATGCATATTTATATACTTTCTTTTTTTTTCTTGCACAGTTATGCATATTTATCCACTTTCTTCATAACAGCCATGGATGTTATCGTTTTCATCTTTGCCTTATCTATATCTATACACCTGCTTTATTTATCCCTTTCCTCTCTGTGTCTCTCTCACTTCCACATTAGCTTTCTCTCTATTTATATTACAATTTATATTTATTTTACGTGTTTTTCTTTTTTTTCTTGTTTTCCCGGAAATGTTTTTTATGGTAATTTTAAATAATTATGGATTTTAATCGGGAAGGATCTACTGTAATTTGAAGTAATTATGGATTATATATAATTATTGCAACGCATATTGTTTCGTAACCTCAAGTGCTTATAAAAAAAAATAATAAAAAATAAATAGAAAAACAAACACTAACAAAAAGTAAATAAACGGTAGAAATGTTTCTTTATTCTTCCACTTTATATACTGGATGACTTATTCAAATTTCCAAAGCCTAATCATATGTATATTCCTTTCTTAATCTATTCATCAAGATAAGTAAACACAAGTGCATCGAAGAAGTAACTGCACTGCAAATGTACACTGTAACCTTTGTCAATTGCTTCAATAGTTGAATAATAAAAGCACATTTTAAAAGGGAAATGAGACAACACTTTTAGACAACAATTACGATTGCATCATCAACTGGGATAAAGGATTCAACATCATAAGCCTGTTTAGCTATCTTGGATCCTAGTGCTGCGGCGAACAAAATCCCTTTAATGAACTAACTGAAGCTTCGAATCTGTCTTACCCTATACAAAAGGCGGGCTGTGAAGCGGATGTTCGGAACGGATTTCGAAACTTGCTCGACAACATTCTTGGTCTCGGCTGTGTCTTACCTCTAATTCTAAAGTTTGTTTATGTATTTTGTATCGTACTAAGATTTTTGCAGTTTCAGAAATTTAATTTTATTTTTTTGTTGTTTTTGTTTATTAGGGTGATAAGTATCAGTAATATTCTATACATATTTTACAATACGTATTTCGTTTACGCATGTACTCTTAGGCATCTGTAAGGTAAATAACAAAGCCAACTCTTCTTTTCTTTGACTTATAAACAAGAAAATAAATAAACAACTGAAGATAATAGATAAATAAGCAAAACCAGAAATAACCGGAGATAAGAGCTAAATGCATATATCAATTTAGGTATGTATATCTATGTCTGCATAATGTATAAATACAACAGACTTTCGTCAGATTCCTAAAAACGAAACTGAGCAAAGATGTCCACACATACATATGTAACACACATATATGTGTGTATATATATATATATATATATATATATATATATATATATGATATATATATATATATATATATATGATATATATATATATATATATATATATATATATATATATATATATATATATATATGTATGTATATATATACATATATACACAACACACACCACACACTATATACTATATATATGTATATGTACATATATATATATATGATTATATATATATAATATATATATATATATATATATATATATAT